GAGCAAATGTACCTTTGCACGTAATCTGCTAATGTTTCTACAGATTGCTTAGGACTAATATAAGATTTATTCGTACTTAGCTACTCGCTTATATACATTTCCGCGTTAACAATCTTAACTCCTTACTTACTACACACTTCAGTATTAACATCTCAAATACAGGATAGTTTACACCTTTTATGTGAAGCTCTAGTGTGAGCACTGCAGCACTCCTCTTTAAAAGGATACAGTTACTAAGCTAGCTATATTTATTAACGAAGGTAAAAAATTCGAACGCAGAAGGTAACTTATACTCTACGAGATCTTAGCGTCAATAGGAACTGCAGAAAGTGACTGTTCAACTTGAGCGCATAAGATAATGAGGTTTTCTATAATACTTGTAATGTGGGTACAGCGAAAATTATATACTATACAGACTGCGGCTGCCTATGCATATCACGTGGCCTCTTCTTTTATATTAATTTGAACATGATGGATAATTAATGCATTTTTATTAATCAGGATTTAATCCCCGAAACTGAAATATGAGTCAAAACAGAGCAGGAATCCTCCGTTAATCAGCAGCAGGCAGTTAAGATTGTGCACCTTGCAAATGCCAATTACGAAACTCATTACTCCAATAAGGCTATTAATCGATCCATATATCGTCAATAGGCTGCTATTTCCTTATTCTAGAAGAGTAATTGTGCCAATAAGCGTAATCTGGGCTGACAAGAAACTTTGAATTCATTGAACTACTAGAAGGACTGAATCTTTCAAATTTGAACAGTTAGAGTGGTTTTATTTAAAGAAGAGTTATAAAATTGAAATTGTAGAATTGAGAATCCACTTACCGTATCGACTCCAGATTTTGTTGTTTTATCATCTGAGAAATGCACGCTATAAAAAGGCTAATGGACATATTTAATCGGAAAAGCAAGAGTACCGAACAGGATACGTCTAATTTGATTGATGATTCAATCCTTGCTCAACAGGCTCAATTACTATATGAAGATGATCTGAAAAGTGGAGAGGAACGCCTTGCCCCGAATATTGAAGAAATGGAAGTTTTATCCCATATTTCTTTTGATTATGAGAAGTTATGTGATATTTATCTACGCGTTTCCTACATGCATATTCAACGCAAAGAATTCACTAAGGCTGATCAATGGTGTAGCAAAGCCTATGAGTGGGCAAATACATATAACGTATTGAATAATCTTACGCTAACTCGTTGTATAAAGAGAAGAGGCGATATAAAAAGACTGGAAGGTGATTTAAGTCGTGCACTGGAAAATTATTCCCAATCATTAGAAGTCAAAAATAAGGCGTACGACATTGATAATGAAGAGACTATTAATTCAGCGCGAATTATTGGACATATTTATTATCTTCAGGGCAAGTATGATAAGGCTCTTGCACAGTATTCTATGATAATTGAAAACAGATCATTGTGGCTTAAAAATGAACGTGATGAAATTATTACTAAAGATTTTGCCTCAGCGGGATTTGCATGTATTAAGCTCGGAAAGTTTAGTAGCGCGCTTGAAAATTTTCAACGCTCTCTCCATTTAAGCCTTATGATCGATAGAGAAGACTTAGCTGCTGTATCCTATAATCACATTGCAAGTACTTATGATGATCAAGGCGAGTATAGTAAAGCTATTGACAGTTATAACGAATTACTGATCTCTTCCAAACTTGATGATAATCATCCCATTTTTGGTGAAACGTATAACAACATGGCAATTGTCCACTGCCATCAAGGAAACTTCGATCAGGCTTCTACCTTAATTAGCAAAGCGCTTGAAATTTTTCTACCGAAATTGGATAAGCATCATCCCCATATCGCTTTGGTGAAAAAAAATTTAGCTCTCATTGTGTCTTATCAACAATCACAGGATCATTCAGCAAATAAAAGCAGCGATATTGCTATTCATGATTTGGCAAAAATTTTGCAAAATAACCCTGAAAATTATCGAACTTCATTGCAGTAGTTATCTTGATGATACCGATAAAATTAAAATAATTTAACAAGGGCTATGAAAGCTGTAATTTAGTTCAAATTACTCATGATACTCAAAGAGTATAGCATACTAGGTTAGTATACCAGTACTGTGATATCGAGATATGCTGCGATTTACTTCTGAGCTTATCTGCAATCAAGTTTTATGATGGAGTTCTTCTTCATAGAGAATCAGACTATAGTTAATAACAGTCTGAATAAACTAAGAATGCTAGATTAATCTTCGCCATGGTAACTAATTTATTTTACTGATTACAAAAGAGGTGACATTGTCAAAGTATACGATATGAACTTGACTGGCTTACCTAATAATCATTTCTTGTTGTTAGTCCATCGATTTAACTGGGCACTGCATACTGCACATGTCTAAAATTCAACGGTATAGACGCTAATATTTGCTAATTTAGATACTATGCATGTTTAGTGCACTTATAGGGGTCTATTTAGAATAATCTTGCTGGCTCAGTTTAGGAAGATTCATAAGGTATCATCGATTAGTGTTGGGGTTATAGCTTATAATACTTTAATTCGAATCACGTTTTAGAGTAACGTAAAATTACGGTGCTACAGTTATAAAGCCATAAATGCTTCCAAAGTATATTTAATTAACGTATCGTGATTTTGATAATTTTGTTTGAATGTGCCATAATAAAGTAATAAAGAAGGTTAAAGTTTTCGATCTCTTTTTTAATTTGAGTTGGAGAAAAAAATGTAGCACTCTTACAATTATTCCATACAAATACGTGAGCTGAATGCAAGATTTAGGCGACTAATCTTACCAGTCCTTAACTGTTTATTTATTGACTTCTTCCATGGCTATCCAATAATAGTGCCATAAATTCTGATTTT